ACTCGCCGCTCCTCTTTCGGCCTGGTTCCACTCGAGTAATGGCCTGACGCGCGCGCGATGTCACCCAGCGGTCTTCTCAGCGAGTGTCCAATCCATCTCTACTTTCCCCGGCATATTTGTTGGGCGATTGCTTCTTGTTTTGTTTGTTCCCATAGTCTCTTGTTGGTGATTCTTTCCGGCCCGGCCATCTGATCTTCAGTATAGAGCGAAGACAATTGTTGTTTGATGAAGGTCTGTAACAGGCTGTTGGAAATATTCTTTGTGACCCGCCCGCCAAATTTCTCATCCGATCCGCATAGAAGAACTGACTTGATGTTTGTATTGAAAATCCGACTGGATTATTTTGTTGATGCTGGCTGAGTGACGGAGGTTTCCAGATTGGTTTCAGGTTGATGAATGTGTTTCTCGCTCGTCTTCCCGATTCTCTCTCGATTTGACATCCTCGTCCGTTCCGACTGCCTGTAGTTGAGACAATGCTCCCTATATAAGTGAGTGAATGAAGTAACCTCTTTCAAATCCCTCCCGTTGATAGTGATTGGCGCTGGATGTTGCTGCTACTGTTGTTGTTGGTCGGTTTTTTTCATAACCTCTGTCTTGTCTATGTTCACATGAAGTACTCCCTTCGCTGGCTGCTTCTTCAACCAGTGTGTCGGTTTTCGCTTGTAAGTCTTCGATTTTGTGTGACATCAAACATAAATCATCCACGAGCGAAATCCAGGTCTTCTAGGTTCTTCACGTTGATCCAGGATATCCCTGTCTTCTCGTTTCCCACTCACTGTCTGACGCATAATCCAGTCAGTCCACCACAATTAGGAATATCATTGGTGATAGTAAGCACCCTTGTCTGACTCCTGTGTTTACTCCAAACGCCTTGCTGACCTTTCCGTTGTGGATCACCTGACATGTGTCGTTGTCGTACAGATGTTGAATAAGGTTGATGAATATTTGGGGTACACCGTAGTACTCGAGTAGTTTCCAAATTATGTCGAAGACCTGCTCAAAGTCCAAAAAGTTGAGGCAGAGGTTTGATTGCCATTCCATGCTTTGTTCGATGATGATACGTAGAGTTGCAATTTGGTCAGTACATGATTTGTCTGACTTTCCTGAATTCAGCTTGTTCTGGTCGGATTTCTGTATTCAGTGCGTCCTTTATTCTCTCCAGGATGATGCAATTCAGGGTTTTACTTGGCGTCGACAGGAGCATGATTCCTCGCCAGTACTTGCAGAGTCCTAAGTCGCCCTTCTTTGGTAGTTTCACGAGGTAACCTTTCCTCCAGTCAGTAGGCACCTTTCCCTCCTTCCAGACCTTTTGCAATAATGGAGTCAGCATATCTGCTGTCGTCTCTGGGTCCGCTTTCAGTGCTGCAGGGGGTATTCCATCTAGTCCAGCTTTCAGAAGCTTGATTGCATTCAAGACTTCAGCTTTTGTTGGAGGATTGGTGTCGACTTGCAGTTGTGTACGTGCTGTTGTTGGTATTTCTGGACGGGTTGCAGGTGGTGGTCGGTTCACGAGTCCTTTGAAGTGGTATCTAATATCATCAAATCAATGTGCACCGTGATGGCGAGCTACTTCGAATGGTGGCCACATTGCAAATCTGACTGATAGAATTCAGTCCGTACTAAATTATCGGATGGATACATCACGCTAGTTACTAGTGTCCAATCAAAAGAGAATCATTGTATTTGTTTGGTGTTAACGCCTGAATACTATTCCTACAGTTTAATAGTGCACTAGAAACAGATTACCATATATATTTTTAACATTCTATTTGAAGGCAGGATATGATAGTCTGAGGCGCAATACTGTTGAATACGCGCCAGGGTCACGAAAACTACCTCAAAAGCGGAAAGGGACATACACGGCCATCGGGAGATGACTCACGTGCGTCGGTGGAACAGCGGTAGAATGCTCGCCAACCACAAAGGTGGTTCAGAATCTGATTACCGGCCGACTCAGTCTTTTACCTCGCTAAGCCAGCAATAAGACCGGTAAAGATTAAATGATCATTCCGACAGCTACTAGTCAGCAATGAGTTACAATTTTGACAAAAATAAATATAATCAAGCCTTAATAAGAACATAAACTTCAAAAGTAATACTAAAATTTCGAATGAAATCTAGTTTCACTGAAGTAGACATCGTGAGATAAAATTCTGGTGAAGTTTCTATCTAGGCAGTCAGTTCATACTGTATAATCTGCAGAAACGTCATCAGAGGCACAATTTTCTAGTATAATTCTCCGGTGTATTTTTCAGATACTGATATTTCTCAATATCCTACATATTCTTAAATGAGGTTTATATACAGATATATGTCAAGTCTAAATTGTGACTTGTTACAATTCGTAAATCATAATTCATAAATCAGGATAACCTATTAGGCCCATAGTTGGTTTTAGAAATTCACCTACTTATGAATTATCTAAATATTTAGTCATGGTTAGAAATCCCTTGAAAATCCACTCGAAATCTAGACAAACCCATCCTCATGGTGGTGGTCAAACCAAAACTTGGCTTCATTAGTCAATGAATCCGCAACAGTTAGTTTATGCCATCTAGAGTGAGGTGTAGACTGCCTAACTGGTTGTGGTTCACGAAATTGTCATCAACAATGATGGCTGGAGAGAAATCTGAAAATCGTTCTCAGTGACTAGCGCAGACGCGGAACACTCCTCGTGATTTATAACACCCATTAAAATCCTATTGTTCTTCCATATTACTATTGCTTTTTCCCTCGCTCACACTTCTGTTTCCTATCCCTCTCTGCTCTTGCTTTGTATGTTGCATGGAGGGAGGGTGGCAACTTGAATCGCACCACCATTGTGCATAGTCCAATGTCGACTCCAGTCAGTCAGTAGTTAGAAACCGACCGCTCCAACGAAAACATTAACTAAAGCCATGCACATTTGCTACTAATGTTAAAGCAGTATGAAAACAAACAACAACAAAACAAAGAAGGATATGAAATTGCTATCAGTATAACATATTCATTATTTAGTTGTTTTGTTTAAATATATAAAACACACATAGAGAGGTCATAAGAAGCATTACAGCAATATCGTCAAGTAGAGGATTAAAAATGTAAAAGAATACAGGGATAGGATATGATGAATGCCATCAAAATAAATTGTTAGACAGATAAAAATATATTTCCTAGCAGAGGAGTTCTTGTTTTTAAATAAGAGAGAGAAAATGGAACAGCGGGGAGATAAATAATTATATATTAAGTAAGTAAGTGCGTGTTGTCTGTTTTATTACAATCCGATGTCTATTATATGTCCAGTAACTCTATACAAGTTTTTTTTTTTAAAAAAAACAGACTGTAAGCAGTTGAATAGGGCTAATAATCATCGTCATAATGAACATCAACCTCAATGCATCCGAGCATAAAAACAAACAAATGAGGAAAATAAAAAAACAAACAAACAAATCGGAAGCAAATCTACTCGTCATCATTATTAATCATTGTTGTTGTATTGAACACATTGAATCGGCGCCAAATATGAAAGCGTTACGAAAATAAGTTTGAATTGGGGGTGTTTTCTTTTTTCATCTTCTTCTTCTTTTTGAAAAATTTAAAAGTTTTCAGGCATTTGTGGTGTGATGACAATTCTCTCTCTCCCTCTCTCTCATTCGAGTAGGGATTAGGGAGGGAATTACCACCAATCAAAAGGGCAAACAAAAATATGCACGCGTGTTATACACACACACACACAATTACCTACCACTATAAAAATTAAATATACCGGGATAAAGTAGGTGCATTTAGTGAGAGGGAGAGAGAGAGAAATAATAATAATAACAATAATAATAAATGAGCATGTAGTTGTTGTTTGACAGAGAGCAAACAACAGACATGTACACATTAACTTAAAAGTTGTAAATTCTATATCACAATGATAATATTAATAATGTTACATAAAAGAAAAGGTATGCTGTTTTTTGTTGTTGTTGTGTTTGAGTAATTTGAAGAAACAAAAATAGTGCGCATTTTATTAACTTGTAAATATAAATATTGAAAATACAAAAAAGAGAAAACAAAATAGTAATATTGTTGAATTTAATGATACACAGAAATCTTTGAGGAGATAGAGAGGGTGTCTGAGGCACGCACACACAGGTAAACAAACAAGCACTTTTTAAGCATTAAATACGATGGGTTTTCTTTGAAAAGTAGGCAAACAGAGCGTGAGGTGTGTATGTGTATGGGGGGTCGGACGATGACAGCAACAACTACTAACTAGTACGAAGAAAGTGGACAGTAGTAGGAGTCATAGGCAGTTGTAAACAATCTAGCGGGATAACTACTCTTAAAATGTAAAAAGATAAGACTTAGCAGCAAGTGAGAGATAGTTTCGTTTTTAAAGCACACACTTCAAATGAGCACTATTCTCATGTTTAAGTGGGTGTGTGTGTGTGAAAAGCGCAGTCAGAACCATGTATGCATTTATATGCAAGCATTAAGATATGCAACACAAAGTAGAAAATAAACATATAGTGAAACAGTGTGTGTGTGTGTGTGTACGTATGTCGGTCCATATGTATATACTACTAATAATAGTAGTGATAAAAATGTTAATTACAAGAAGGATGCCTAATGAAAAAAAATTACGCAAAGAAATAACAATAAAGCAAGAAGTCAACGCTTTAAATAGTTGAAAAGAAAACTGTCAAGTATACACAGCAAAATAAGTAAATATTTATAAGGAATGATGTAAACTAAAGAATTTACTATTATTATAATTATCATCATCATAATCTCTTGTCAATCGTAAAAGGAAAAATTAGATCTTCTCTGTCGACTCTTCATCTCTCCACCCACTCACTCATCCGCACTCTATCCTTCTCTAAAGGATGTCGTGGGCGTGCTGTTATTCAATGTTTGATTAATTTAATAATCGCTAGTTAGGCATAATTTCTGGGTGTTATGGTGTGTGTACAGTACACCAACGCGCACATACACTCATGCACACACTCATATATATATATATATATATAAGATTAATTTTGAGCATTACGTAAATGAGCTTCGTGTACTTCGAATTCTTTGACTTCATGAAAAATACGAGCTTTCCATTCTTCAACGGATAAATTTCTTTCACCAAAGGAATCATCATATCGAGCTGGCGGTGGCTAAATTATGCAGAAGAGAGGAAAATACACAATACAAACGATGAACAGATACACATTCAGGATAGAATTTCATTTCCATTGTAACGCAAAGAAAAGAAATGTATAGTATACTAACCCACACGGCAATTATTAAGTGTTTAAACCGAGAAAATTTGGCAAAGTTCAACGGGTACACGCTTACACCAATTACTCAGGAACAAGAAATTGTGCTAAAAAAATAGAGTCCCTAACTCAAAGCCTAACATATTTTCCTAATTAAGTTAACTTATCTAAGCGGTGACGTTTCAAAACGACAGACAGACTCTGCACACATCAATCAGGGTGACATAGTGTTATGTACTCGTCGCCAAATTATTGTTATGTACTGGTCGAGAATTTAATAGTCCTGACTCAAGAAAGACGGAAATCAGAAGACCACTAGGTTTGCGATGATACTTCTATTTTCCAAACACCAGGAGAATCAATATGATATATCACACAAGTTTGTGAGAGCAAAATATATATGAATGTCCAAACAAGTGTGTGAACAAATCAATAGACAGTCTTAACATGATTGGCTAATTATAACGGAGTATCGATCCATATATACATAGCGAAATATAACAGACTGTCAAACAAACACACATATTATATATAAGGGGAATATACATTGTTAAAGTAGACAAGTTCATCAAAGTGAAATGGTCACAGACTAAGAGGGCAACAGAAAGAGAGAGACCACCATATATATCTATATCTATATATATATATATATATATATATATATATATATATATATATATATATATGGATACATATCACATAGCGAGACTCGGAAAGGCAAGGTGTACTACGAGTTTATAGCTGATATCAACTTGTGACAAAATGTACCTTAAAATATTTTTTTATTTAAAGGTGAACAACTCCACTATTCCCACTGATAAACTTACTGCATTGACTTCAGAGTCTTCATACCACACGTGGATATATGGATGGTGTAGAGCTTCATCGACAGATATTCTCTGTAATGGATCTATCACTAACATTCTACTCAATAAATCACGAGCTTGATCAGCGTTCAGTGTTTCGTGCTCCTATAATTAGAGAGAGAGAGAGAAAGAGAGTATGAACAGCAAACAAAAAACCCAGCATGTACTACTAATTACAAACAAAGTTTAAAAAAAGTAGCATATAGTTTCGTGTTTGCAAAGTTAGTAATTTAACAAATGTCTTGGTAAAAACATTATATAAAAGGGTTGATGAATAATTCTTTTCGACCTCGAGTATGCAGACGATATCGTCTTAGTGTGCGATAGCATGCAGGCTATCCAAATCGCACTTCATTCGGTTGGCGATCAGCGTCTGTAAGTACTGTTACAAGATTGGCAGAAGCCTGTACCTGCACTCACTCTTGCTTGCAGGTGAACTGCTTGAAGTTGTTGATAAGTTTGTGTATCTGGGTAGTTGTGTGAGGGCTGGCGGGGCGGGAATGACGGATGAGATTTCCAACCGTATAATGAAGGCTAGGATGGCATACATCAACTTGAGCCACCTCTGGCGCCTTCGCGACGCTAGCCTGGCTGTCAAAGGTCGGGTGTACAACGCTTCAGTACGGGCTGTCTTGCTCTACGTATGTGAAACCTGGCCTCTCCGAGTAGGCTGAGGATGTGCGGCGACTCTGCATGTTCGATCATCGCCATCTCCACAGGATTGCTTGCGTTCGATGGCATCATCGTGTGAGTAATTCCGAGGTTCGGCCGCGTGTCTTCGAAAACAATGGAGATCACCATTCATTGAGTGTCGTCATCTGGAAACACCGGCTCCGGTGGCTTGGACATGTGCTGCGAATGTTATCCCAGAGGCTTCCGTACAGGTCTCTGTTCGCTAGCCCTGGGACGGGATGGAAAAGGCGGAGGGTGGTCAGTACAGGACGTGGTGTCGTGAGATGAAGGATGTTTGTGCTAGATTAGCATCGGTTGGTGCGTCACGACTCCCTGGTTTGAGGTCCGCGAGATAGCTCGAATCGATGGTTAGAAACGTTATCGGATATGGCCAGGAATCGTAATCATCAATGGCGAACGTGTTGCAATTTCCTTCTTTCTTCCCTTCCCGGTGATAGTTAACGAATACTGTTTGAACTTGTTAAGCATGACTGTTTTCCTTCCAGATGAAGTTCTTTATCCGCTCTCTACTTATATTTTTAATTTTAATCTATGTTGTTTTATTATTATTGTGTGGCGCATCTTTCTTGATGAAAAATATTGTACCGAGTTTTCTTCTGCTTTTAAATAATAAATAATAATCTGCTGAATAATTCTGTGGTATTTCGAAAGAGATTTTTGTTAACTTTGGGTTTCTGTAAGACAACCTGAAACTAATGAGATGGAAGTAGAGCAGAGCAAGTGTTCATAATAATCTTGTTTACGTTTCTCTAAAAACCAAGGAATACTAAATAAAACTTACAAATTATGTCAGGTGTGTGCTGCTGATAAGATTAATAAGTAGTATACTCATATGTGAGCAAAAATATGACTGATTGCGTGGTTTCAGCACAAATGTGCAGTAGTTCAAGTTGCCACACTACCTCCATGTAGCACACAGAGCAAGAGAAAAGAGTAAACAGAGATTCAGAAGAGAGAGAGAGATAATAAACAGAAATGTGAACGAAAAACAATAGTAAGTAATATGGAAGAACAATACAGTTCTTAATAGATATGATAAATCACAGAGGGTGAATGTATCTGCTCCACTGAGAACGATTTCGAACCAGATCATCTATTGTCACCAGCCACCACTGGTTCTTACCATTCCGAGGAACCCAACTGAGAAGTCTACACCACCGTGCGTGGCTCAGACTAACTGTCAAAGACTTCATGGACTGATTCCATGTTTTCATCTAACCACCCCTAACCCTTTTCCAACTTGATGCATCCTATGTCCTATGTCAGCTAACATTGCCCATTTTCGAGGAAGGCTATGACTAGGCATGCGCAACACACGTCCTATCTTAAGATCCACATCCTCGTCCACTAACTTTCCCTCCTTACCTAGCACTCAATGCCTAACCCCAATATTACTCACCCTATTATACCACCTAACATGGGGGGTACAAATGAAACACCTATGATCAAAGACAACTAGCCTTTCCATGTCTTTGACTTTCAATATTCATGTCTCACAGCCATAAAGAAGGACGGAGGGAACATCTAAGTAGTCTACACGTCCTTTAGTCGACAGCGTATGCGAAACGAGCTTTCTGTATATGTGCTAACACTTTGTCAGCGATCAACCCGTTGGGGCTGATGCAACTTCCGAAATAAGTGAAGTGGTCAACACGCTCTACCATCTTACATTTGACAAGAGCAAATTGCATGTCAAACATTCAAAGATTGATGCTCAAGTTGTTCAGAAAACTCTGCATTTTGTCAGCACCTTCACCTAGGAGTACTATATCATCCGCATATTCTAAGTTGACGAGATTATCCCTTAGTAACGAGTCAATCCTCTACAAGGATATCGGAGAGCGAAAAGATGGATTTAATGAACAGTGCTCGTGAAACAACTTGAAAAACATGAAAGGAAGACAAAGAAGCACCATACAAGAGAGAGAGAAAGAGAAATAGTACAAATACCGAAAATACGTGCAAATTGTAATTCTAATACATCTGTGTATCGAGTTGCCAATCAATAATTTTGTTACCAAATTCTCCTGTTTTTTCTGCCATTACAATATACATAATTAACATTTTAGTAGAAATTGAAAATGACAGGACATCAAATCCCAGAATGGTCAACGAGAATCGGTCTCATAGTCTACAGATCTCAGAATCAATCCCCGGTGGTGGTAGTGGGGGGGCGGGGCGGAGTTTGGACATGTACAGAGTTGAAGAGGGAGAAACAGCTGGCTAGTGACGAAATCTAACAGTTTTGAAATGATTACTTTAAAGAGACCAACAAACACAGATTGAATGAAGTATTATTATTAGTCATTATAAACAAGAAAGAAGGCAGGCAAATAAAGACATTCCAATTACCTACGCATACATAAAAATAATAATGGTATTCACAGAATAAATGTTAAATATTAGAGTAAGCTATTAATAGAATGGAATTCATTTTTAAAGAATGTAAATAATAATAATATTAATACATCATACTTGTTAAGTAAATACCATTTATACTACCCGAAGACTGAATAACCCGATGGTAAATGAACTCAACTTGTGTAACGTGATGAGTAAGAATGATTAACGCATCATCCCTCTTTCTTTCTAGTCGAAGTATCACACAATTTAAAAAGGAATGTGGCGATAGAACATGAAATTCAAGGGTTGGTCATTAGGACCCGGGTCCCGATGGTTGAATAATCTACAAGATTGATGTGCAGCCGAAGGGTCCTGGAACCAAATCCCGGCGGTGGGTTCGCACTGATGAGAATCCCAAACTAGGACGAAGCATCTATCAAGGACTCCGAGGTAGTTTCCAATGGCTCTCTTTAACTGATGACAACTAGTGGTCACAACACCTCAAAGAATGTAGAGAGTTCTTTAAAGAGATGTGAAACACTCACTGATCAGAACTTACTGCATTGTTATAAGGGCAAAGTAGGTATTTTCATACGTCAATCATTGAATGCTAACTAATTAATTGTGATCGAATTATTCAAAAAATACTAAAGCTCATCATTCTCTAACGCAATCATCGAGACCATGCTATCAGTTGACCAACCCAATTTTTAGTGAAAAAAATAAATAAATAAATCAAAAGCATTCAAGTGGATGACGATGAAATCACGACGTCCGTCTTTTGATGTCACAGAGCATTATAAACACACACTTTAATTGGTTCAAAACTAGCAAAAGAAACTGTGCAACAACTACTCGATAGCGATCAACATACAAGAAAGCGCAATGTTCAACTTAGATGAAACTCATAGAATTATGTCTTACAATATATTTCCAATTCAGTAATCAGAGATATCAACATATCAGGATTAATAACTTAAGACGTTATGCAAAGATTAAAATTAACAGCTCTACACATAATTATACCGAAAATTTGGGTATGTAATGTTGGTGATATATTCGAAAATAATTAAAAGAGATGTGATTTGGAATACATCCACAGACTAATCACAATCAACAACATATTTGAAGACATTAAATTCACAAGAGAAGAATCAAACAACGTCTTAATCACGAGAACAAACACAGGAGATCTAGAAATACAAGTATACAGAAAGTCAACACACACACACACACACGCACAGATAAAATACTCAACTATAACAACAATAACCCAATGAATCACAAAATAAACTGTGTGTAAACATTGTTTAAGAGTTCGAACACACACTGTAGTACTACAGTGTTGAAGAGAATATATATATATACTTTCACATCGATGCATGTAGATAATTACAGACACCAATTTGATTGAGAGAACAGAGGAAACCCCAAGGAATTTCTAGAAGCTTGGTACTCAGATGAACTGGGGACTAACGCATACATTACTCTAGATCAAATTTACCAACTACTAAGAATAAAACACATGACAAGGGAGTTCAAATTCTAAGTCAGTTAAAAACGGTGAATACTGATATAAATTAAGAACCAATCACGACTGAACTTCCTCAGGACTGTATTCCACTAGACGTAAATCACTGGTTACTAACCTAGTGTTTAATCAAAGTATCCAATACAGTCAGTCGTACAGCAGATCAATCGCGAATCTGAATAGCTCATTGATAACGTCTCTGACTGCAGTACTCACTGGGTGACGCGTGTTTGAATCTCAGAAGGGATATGAGTTCCTTCAAGGTTGCAGACACGCAGAGTGCCAACTAGCACGAAACCTAGGTCCAACGCGCTTCCCGTGACCGAATGCCCCCAACCATCTAATATACACATATTTGAATTTTATGGAAATGATCATGAATAAATTGGTAAATTTTATGAATATGTATTTTTTATTATATTGGTTAACGACTTTAGAGCAACACTAAGGATAGGCAATTATTTCGGCGATTTATTTTTCACCTTACAGGTGACTTTAAAGAGAGAGAGATTTAAAAAAAAATGTTCAGCTGTGTCAA